TACAGATCCTTAGCGGTCTTGTGCTGGCCGAAGTGAGCACGTTCTGCTAATGGCAGATAATTGCGAATAGTTAGGCGAGCAGCTGCGTCACGGGTCTGCCAGTGTGAACGAGAGAGGCTGTCAGCTGTGTCGGGAGGAGCAACTGAGGAGCCAGACGCATGGTCAAACAGAGAAACTCCGTCTTGAGCATCGGTCATGAGGAACAGTTGCAGGTCATCTAGCCACGTGGCGAACTCTATTGGGCGGTCGTCAAGGTCGAAGGTAAGGACATTGAGCGTAGCCATGGCTGCAGCGAGCGCACGGGCAGCAGAGACGACGCGCGCACAGCAGAGGCAGCGCGTAGGCAGTAGAGGCGGCGAACTGGCAGGCAGAGGCGGCACGTGGGCGGCAATGGCAGGGCGCGGGCCGCAAGGGCTGCAAACTAGCGGTGCGCGGGCAGGAGCAGCAGGGCAGCAGAGCAGCAAGGCAGTAGCAGTAGCTTAGCAGCAAGAGCAGTGCACCAATAGCAGTTCAGTAACAGCACTGTAGCAACAGCAGTGTAGTAACAGCAGTGCAGTAAAAGCAGTGCAGTGACAGTAGCACAGGCGGCAGCAGGGGCAGTGCAGGTGCGCGCGCGGCAGAGCAGGTGCGCGCGGGCCTGGCGCGGGCTGTACGGGCTGCACGCGGACCTGGCGCGGGCTGTACATGCCGCACGTGGGCCTGGCGTGGGCTACACAAGCTGCATGCGGGCTTGGCACGGGCTGTGCGGGCCGCGAGCGGGCCTTGCGCGGGTCGTACGAAGTGCGCGCGAGCATGGCGCGGGCTGCACAGGCTGCGCACGGGCCGCGCGCGGGCTGTAGGGGCGACGCGCAAGTGGCGCGCGGGCTGTGCGTGGGCTGTATGGGCTGCGCGCAGCAGGGCAGAGCAGGGCAGCGGGAAAGCGCTGGGCAGGGCAGAAAATTCGGGCAGAAAAAAAAAGGCTAACTGGCGGGCCTTTTAAAAAACGGTCCTTATAAGGACCTGCTCTATACCATGTCGAGAGAGTTTAGGAGAAGTGTGTTGATTAGGTCTAGGATGGGGTACAAGCAAGAGTGTCGAGGTGAAGGCTATACCCCCTAAGGCTAGCTCCTATATAGCCTAGACAACTTAACACAGATATATATTTGACATGCTTTGCTTTTCTTGACTGGTCTTGTGACCTCTTGTTCTCCCCCACTTTGCCTATAGGGGTGCGTCAAACTTACATGTTGCATGTTGTGTAGGCTGTAGTGGGGTAACCCATATGGGGTACAACCCAAATTAGGGTTAGTACTTGTACCCATCTTGCTACTCGTTCATTCATTCTCGCTTTCACATTCTGACAACCTTTGCGAACATCCACATTCATTAAGAGAAACTCTTTTCAAGATGTGTGATTCTAAGCAGTTAAAAAAATTCCCATATATAAGACTCATAAGACACCCTAAACCATCCCAAATACGAGATAACCCAAGCATTTTTTCTACTGTACGAGATAAGACATATATGTCTGCTATCCGGGCGATGACGGTAGTATACCCTTGAAAAGTACGGTAGGCCCCAGAATGAGAGATGAGGGTGGAAGTCATGTGATCAAACATTAGCCCATGCTCTTTTCGGGCAATCACTACATTGTCAGAATGTGTTATCTGTCTAGTCTGCAGTGGGGTACTCAATAGTGAGTACAACCCTGTTAGGGTTTGCTATATGTATCCCATTATTTGCTAGTGAAACCCCTCTCCTGATGTTCTCTTTCTACTTGCTATTCTGACATGCGATCAGAGCGTCTACGCTCCTGGCTTGTGGGCCCACCTGCTTCCGCTGCTGTACTCTGTGTCGCGCGCCCCGTGGCGCGCGACATTTTTTCTTCCCACCACGCGCTCGGGGCGCGTGGTGGTTTTCCTGCCCGCCACGCACCCTGGGCGCGCGCGGTGATTTCGTCGTCCGTCGCGGCACCCCCATGGACCCGTGCGCGGCTCCCCGTCGCCCGTCGCAGCGCCCCCGTCGACCCGCGCGCACGCTCCCGTCGACCCGCGCGCTCCCCTCCGTCATCCGTCGCGACGCCCCCCGGGACCCGCACGCGGCTACCCGTCGCCCTTCACAGCGCCCCCGTCAACCCGCGCGCCGCCCCTGGGGACCCGCGCACCCGTCCCCGTCAACCCGCGCGCCCTCCCCCCCTCCCCCGTGAACCCGCGCGTCGCCTCAGGGGACCCGCGCGCAACCTCCTCCCCGCCCCCCCCCCCCCCCCCCCCCGCCCCCTCCCCCTTCTCCTTCGCCTCTTTGCTGCACGTGCAGCCATGGGGTGGCAGGCATGGGGGTGGCGGGTGTGTGAGCCGTCCCCTGCTCCTCCTCCTCCGTCTCCCACTACTACAGCTGCCGCTGAGGGGGGTGGGTGTGTGGGAGCCGAGGGAGTGGCGCTAGGGGGGTGTCATGGGAGTGGAGCTAGGGGTGCAGCAAGGGGTGTGCGAAAGGGGTGTGGCATAGTTGGGGGAGGTTGAACGGAGGTAGCCGTTATGACGTCAGCAGCGCCAGTAGTCCGGGGGTCACCCTTGCTCCAATAGCCCAGTGAGCCTGCTGCGCCAGTCGCGCGCGTGGGTCCGTTGCTCCAGCCGCTCATCTTTGCCGCGGAGCCAGTGACTCCAGTAGTCCGGATACCCTTGCTTGTGTCTGGTAGCTCGTGCGCGCCGCTCCTGTTGCCCGTGTGTTTGCGGCTTCGCTCGTCGCCTCCTATCTCCACTCCTCTCACAGTCCCTCCTCCTCACCTGCCCTCTGTGACTGCCTCTAGTTTTGCTTGTGCTTGTGAACTTTTTATGCGACTACTTGCTGTGCTGATCATACCCCACTTTGCCAATGGGGGTGTGTCAGAATGTGTTATTTGTCTAGTTTGCAGTGGGGTACTCTATAGTCAGTACAACCCTCTTAGGGTTTGCTATATGTATCCCATTGTTTGCTAGTGAAACCCCTCTCCTGCTGTTCTCTTTCTACTTGCTATTCTGAGACACATTTCCATATAATCTTCATTTCGTTTGTGAAGCAAACCACAAAGCATGCAACGCAACATCATCCTACACCCAGGGCCTCAAATTGGTTTTTTGGGTACCCTGAGCACTCAGTATCCGTAGGAGGGTAACACTGATTTTCAGTGTCGTCTACCGGTAGTGTGAAACACTGATTTTGCAGGGTTGTTAGAAATAAAACGCTGATCCATCAGGGTTTTCTAAAAGTTCAACACCAGGGCCCTATATTCGTTTTGGACCAGGCTGATGCATCAGCGTTGGTCCATAAAAAAAGGCTGCTGATCAGCGTTACCTAGCAAAAATACGCTGAAAAATCAGTGTTGCTGCAAAAAGAAAGGCTGTTTTTTTATTTCTGTTATTCTTTCTTGTTAAGGTGAAGTACACACCTTTAATACTGCATGGTTCATTTTGCAAGTAGTAGCGAGTTCTGGTAAACACTGCGCGAGAGAAGCAAGTGGGTGCGAGAGAAGCAAGTGGGTGCGATAGGGGCAGGTGGGCTGCGGGGAGGAGCAGGAGAGGCAGGTGGACCCGGGGGGAGGGGAGGTGGGGGAGAAGCGGGTAGGTTGGGTTGGGAGACGCGGGCTGGGGGAAGAAACAAGGTGGGCAGGGCTGAGAAAGGGGAGGGCTTGGGAGGGGAAATGTGCGACCAGTACGGGCGAGAAATTGAGGTGGTTGGGGGGTGGCGCGAGAGAATCGGGGGGGCGGTAGGTGTTGGGAACAATAAGTCTTAAAACGCCTTTGTCGTGTTGAAGCTCAGGACTCAAAGCGAAGCAGTCCAAATCGAAGCATCGCGAGTCAACCCTCGGAGGTTGGGGTAACCGCCTGGAGGTTACGCGAAGGTCAAAGGTCAGCGACCTTTGACTTGACCAATACAGCGCGACAGCAAGGACACAGAACTGACTCGACATTGAGCAGTTGCCCGAGTCGCACTGTATCGAATCGCAATAGCAAGACAGTTATCTTATCTATTCGTATTCCTTGTACTCTTATATAAAGCCTTGTACTTGCTTGTTTTAATCAACTTACTTTGCCCTCACATACCAGCGCAAGGTGGTTCAAGATCTTTTATTCAACGCTTCCGCTATTACAAATCCTACCCAGACTTTAACTCTACAAAGATCCCTAGGGCTTATCAGCCCAACAGTAGGGACATTTCAGGGATTTAGCAAGGGTCTCGGTTGTAGACTACAGGATCAGCGTATACTCACCAAAGAAGTCTGAAAAAACACACAAGGTACAAATAAAGTGGCTGGAAAATCAGCCCAAGTACATAATAAAAAACTTCTGATTCAGCCTAGGGTATAAAAAAAAGCCTGATTTAATGCTGAATCAGCATAAAAAGGCTGATATCTAGGGCTCTGTTCAACACTGATCAGCATAGTTGCTTATACCGGTATGCTGTCATAACACAGCGAATCAGACTGCCCTTACTTCACAATTCCCAAATTCGGCCAGAGTTTTGCTATTTACGTGTTTGATTGGTCAGAAATCTTGTCTGACCAATCGGATAGGACGACTGTTAACGATTATTTCTGATCTCTGGTTGTGTACTTGACCAATGATTCGGACTTTGTTCGTCACAGCAGATTCGCCCTGACGGCAAATTCGACCTCGCAGTCGTTTCGCGCTGTCGCAGCACAGCAAATTCGCCCAATCACAGCAGATTTGCCCCGACACAGCAGCATATTCGCCTCTCACACAAGAGATTCGCCCTGTCAGAGCATGTTTCGCCAGAAATCCCTTTGCTGCACGGTACTACACGGTGACGGCGCGCCAAAAGTTTACGGTTTCAGGGTAGACCCCGATACAACACTGACTCGTCAGTGTCCTCAAACACAAAACACTGGAAAATCAGAGTTCGAAATTAAAAAACACTGAAAGATCAGGGTCGTTTAAAAACAAAGGCTGGTGCATCAGGGTCATGATACAAAATGGGGGTCAAACTTCAGGAATTCGGGGTAAAATTCCTGACTTCTGAGGCCCTGCCTACACCGTGATATTCCTGTACAGGTCCCTCCATACCTCCCACGTCTCCCCGAACCAGTACCGGTCCCGGTTCACACTCAGCATGCCCACCCGTGCCTTGCCGCGCCCCGCCACCCGGAGGTTATCAATGAGCACGGACCACGTGGACCCCATGGTGCCCACGAAGAAGGGCGCATCGGCGGAGATCAGGAGGTTCACGTAGGCGTTGTCGGTGGCGCGCTGCTCCCCCACGCGCGCGTCGTATGCGTCCATGCTCTCGCCTGCCGCCTGGCGGGGGAAGTCGGTGGCGTGGAAGCGCCAACGCGTGTAGTGCCTGGTGGCGTCCACCACTGCCTGTGTGGGGCGGAGGAGGAAGGCACGGGGCAGGGGAGGAGGAGGGGGAGGTAGAGCCTGCCGGGGGAAGTCAGTGGTGTGGAAGCGCCACTGCGTGTAGTGCTTGGCGGCATCCACCACTGCCTCTGAAGGGCGGAGAAAGACGCCGGGAAGGAGGAAGGAAGAGGGGTTCATGGAAATGGAGCAGGCGAAGGGTTTTGGGTCGACTTTTTGATCGGCATTGCCGACGGGAGCGAGGGAAGGGATTCTTATAGTGGAGAGTGTTTGTGGGATAGGGTGCTGACTGGTAAGCCAGCAGCAGGACGAATGTGTAGTGGAGTGATTGGGGGAGTGATTGGGGGAGTGATTTGTGCACCGGCATGAGAGCATGAAGTGCACAGGGGAGGGAGAGAGGTGCATTAGGGTGGGGTGAGGGGGGGTCGGGTTGGTTGGTGGCGATTCTTTGAGTATGTGCATCACTGTGCTCACCCGCGCTCATATGCTTACACACACACACCCACTCGCCCAATCACACACACATTCACCCACGCATCCACTCTCCCCTCGCACTCACCCACTCACAATCAACCACTCACACGTTCCTCTCCCTCTCACACGCGCACCTGCATCTCAGTGCTGAGCCACACGGAGTCGGCATGGGGGAACTGCCGTCTCACACGGCCCAGCAGCGCCAGGTACACGTCCACCCCCGCCATCGCCATCTCGCCCGCCTTGTCGCCCTGCCGAACATGCACCGCCACCAGCCCCTCTGGCACATACCCCCCTGCTGCTCGGTACGCTCCCGTTCCTGACAGTGCCCCTGTGCCGCCTATAGCGCCGCCACTTGCTGCCTGCCATATCTCCTCGATTTTCCCCTCGCTGCCCAGGGCGTTTCGAGAGGTGAGATCGGGCAGCTGCTCGACGGTTTTCGGCCAATTGGAGGGCAGGAAGCGGGCTGCCCGGGCGGCGAGGGCAGGGCTGAAGGCACGGTGGCGGGCGCGATTGAGGAGGCGGCAGAGACAAGGGGAGGGGTAGCGCATGAGGTAGGTGGCAGCCTGGTGGGGTGAGGAGCCCAATGGGGAGTAGAGAGGTGAGGTAGGAAAGGAGGAGAGGCGAAGAAGAGAGGAGAAGAGAGGAGAGAAGAGGAGAGGAGGAGAGGAGGAGAGGAGAGAGGGAGAGGAGAGAGGGAAAACAAGGAAGTGGCACTTTGAGTAAGTGGAGGCCTGTGGTTATGGAGGTGGGGAAAATGTGGGCGAAAACCACAAGTCTTCAGGAAGGAAAGAAGAGCGGAAGGAAAGAGATGGCGAGTACAGACAGACATCGGCACATGCAAGCACAGAAAGAGAACGCATGCATGTGCTGTGAACACTTGGACAACTTCACGACATGCAAAAAAATGTGGATGATCAAGGTCAGTTTCTGCACATAGCATGTGCACTAAGTGGATGCTGCAAACGCAGAGCTTGGCAAAAACAACATCATGCAGAAATCACACCTGGGCGAACCACCAGCGGTGGCGGTTGAATGCTGTCCATCGGATGAGCCTTCCATGCACGTCCACCGTCGGATGCATGTGCTTCCACGGCCTACCCCATATACTGCAGATTCAGCCAGAAGGATTAACTTGGTGTTTTTGGAAGATTGGCTGCCAACACAAACTGCATTCTTATCCAGTGCATGAAACACACTCCTGCTCAAGCTGTAGAAGAAGCGCCGTAGGACCGCAGAAAGACGTAAAAGAAAAGCGCACGACGGTTGCATGCATAGGCAGTCAGAGGCAGGACGGGTGTATGGTGAGTCGCACTCGAGTCACCACATGACCAGCTTGACGGCGCTCAAGTGGGACAGTCAATGGTGAAAAGGTCGGTGCCATTGCGGTCCAGATACAGATTTTCAGACGCCACAAGAAGCACAGCAGCTGGAGGGCACTTACGTGGGATATTGAATGGTGAAGAAGTTGGTGATGTTGCGATCCAGATACTCCTCCCATACTGTCACCCTCCTCCTGCTCCACTCCTCCCCGCTGCTCTCATCCCCCCTGTTGTCAGCCCCACCATCCCAACCGGCAGCAGCATCGCCAGTGTTATTGGTGGGAGAGGCATTGCTGGGGGAGGAGAGGGTGGGCCGGGATGCGTGCAGCAGCTGCAGGGCGTGGCCGCGGCACTCAGAGGAGGTCTCAGGGACAAAGTAGCATGACCAGCGGCCTCGATGCACACCTGTCGACACGCTATTGGGCGATGGGGATGGGGGAGAAGGCGGGGTGCACGGATGGGGGACGAAGCACAGTGAGAATGTGAGGGATGGAGCCACATGGGGTGTTCAAGAGAGGATGAAAACAAACAGAAACCCTCCCTCTGATATTGTCACATGAGAGCGTGTATGTGCATGGCATCTCTTGATAATGTCATCCTCCCTTCCCTACTATCATCCCCTCTACAGGCATGTCACGCTAGTATGGGCTAGTGAACTTCATTCCCTATCTGCACCCACCTTGACACATCTCTGCCTCCCCCGTGTAACCATGCTACACCACCAGCACCCTGACCTCTACCACACAACCCTCACCCCCACCTCTCTCACCTCTCACGTCACCACTCTCACACTCTCTTCCACCACTGTATATTACCCACCATGGCACCCGTCGTGTGCCGCCCTATGGTACTGTCGGACCACCAGCACGTGCCCCAACACCACCCACCTTCCCTTACAATCTCCTCTCTCCCTTGGTTACTGCAACGCAACCCACCATGGCACCCATCGTGCGCCGCCCTATGGTAGTGGCGCACCACCAGCACGCGCCCCTCCACCACAGCCGTCCCCAGCACGCCCGCCAGCCAGTTCACCTGCGCCCCCACGCCCAGGAAGCTTCCGCGGACCTTCCTGAGCACGTCCACGACCAGGAACTTGACAGACGGGTGCGAGCAGTCCCGCGGGTGCTGGTGCACCCAGAGGTCCCTCTGGGCCCGCCGCGTCATGGGCAGATTGTCCTCGTCCGCACCTGATACCTGAAGGATGGTGGGTAGGGGGGTGGAGGGAGTGCGGCATGCATAGCAGATGGAGAGGAATCGAGCTGCTGCAGTCACGGGGGTGCTGCCGCACCCAGATGTTCCTGTGAGCTCACCATGTCATGGGAAGATTGTCCTCGTCTGCTCCTGATACCTGGGTTGTAGAGGGGCGTGCCGTGCATAGCAGAGGGAGAGGAATCGAGGCGTTTCTTGGGGTGCTAGCGCAACCACATGTCCCTCTGCGCTTGCCGCGTAACATGGGCAGATTTTATTCGCCCCCACCTGATTCCTGGGGGGTGGAGGGAGGGAGGGAGGGGGCGAGCATGGAAAAGGATGAGGGCTAGATCTCGTATCCTTGGGTTGCTGTGCAGGTGCAGCTAGCATTCTCTTGGAATGGCAGGGCGACCTTGCCTTGCACGAAGCATTCTCTCTTCCAAGCCTATGCTGCACTCTGAGTCGACTTTGCTGTAGCTGGTGCTTGAGAATTCTATTCACCAATATCAGCTACACAAAAACCTCACCTACACATGGCACGTGCCACAGCACTCACCCAGGGGGGGTAGGGCCCGAGGACAGCCCCCCTGTGGTCCCCCATGAGCTGCTCGTCCCGTGCTGTCGCCATCCACGCCGCCACCTCCGCCTGCTCCTCGCGCGCCCCTTGCCTCTCCTGCATCCTCTCCTGTGCCTGTAACCGCATCGCCTCATGCTGCACTGCCCGCGCCTGCTCCTCCTCCTCCAACTGCCCCTCTGCCTCCGCCACAACCGCCGCACCTTCCGCCTTCCTTCCCTCTTCCTCTTCCTCTCCCTTTACTTCTCCCATCCTCTCTCCGCCTCCCACTTCCTCTGTTTCCTTGCCTGCACGCCCCTCTCCTTCCCTTTCTCTCTCCCTCCTCACCTTCTCCCTCTCCCGCTCCTCCAACCGCCGTGCCACCAGTCCCAACCTGCCGCCCCAAAGCGACCAATCCGGAAGCTCCCCGTCAGCAGACCGCGAATCCAGAAGGCTGCAAAGGGGAGTTGGAGGAGAAGAGAGAATGGAGCGAGCTTTAGTTCTCAAGTTGTGAGGCGGCTGAAAAGAAGGGAGAGAGACGAATGGCGACCCGTCGGTGAAAGTGAAACAAGTGGTGGAGGCAGAGAGAGAGAAGGGAGGTGAAGCGGGCAAGGTGAGGTGCCATGGCTCAATCTGCTGAGCGCAGTGCCTTCCAAGCCCTTGCCCAACAAGAAATGCAACGAAAACGAAAAAGGCGGCAGGTGGGGAATGACGGCTCTCCCCAAGCATGTCATGAAGCCATGTGCACACCCACCCATCGATACATGCACTTTCACACATTCACACACCCACACGCATGCAATCACATGCGTCCATGCACACAAGAACGGACCTGATATCAGTGGCGAGAGAGGCACAGTGGTCCACATGGGGTGCGGCAGGCACCAGCCGCTGCTCCTCCTCCTCACTCAACCACGCCTCCTCCCCTGCCCCTCCCACACTCTCTCCTGCCCCACCCAAAGCATCTGGTTGTCTCTTTGCTTGCTGCACTCCCACGTTCATCTCCTTACCCTCCCCCTCCTCCCCTTGTGCAGTCCCCACTTCCCCCACCGGTTCTCCCCCCTGTGCCACCACAGCGCGTCTGAGCTGTGTGAGAGCATGCTGCACAGCGGCAGAACGCACATCCCGCAGCCCCAGGGAGGGGGCGGCCTCCCACAGCACCATCAGCGCACGCGCACTCTCACCCATGCCACCGCTCCTGCCCTCATCATCCTCACCGCCACTTCCCTCCTCATCTTCCCCACCTCCCCACCCCGCGTCCTTACTACCGCCTCTCCTGCCCCCATACGCATCCTCACTCACGCCATCCGCCCTTTCCTCCCCCTCCAGCCCCTTACTCTGCCTGCCATCCTCTCCCCCTCGCTCGCCCGCACTCCTACTTTTGTCCCTTCTCTCATCGTGCCTTGTCCCCCTGCCTGTGTGACTGCTTCCTCCCTCCTCTTCCTCACTGCTTCCCATCACCCCTCTCCTGTCTAGCGCTTCAGAATTGTTTACAATAACGCCTGACTGCTGCTCCAGGTGCTTTCTCAGGTGTTTCTTCAGGTGCAAACACCCACTCTTGTCACACGCAGCCAGCTGTGCCTTCAGGTGTGTGACATCATGCCGGAGCATCTGGTTGGTCCACCTCAGCGCGCTCTGATTGGCCTGACAATGCTCCTCCTTCCACTGGTCATTCACATGCATACATTCACATGAGCGCACACACATATAATCACCTGAGCTTACACGCACACAGATGCGCGAACGAAGGTGACAACATCACAGCACAGAGAGATGCAAAAAGAGGGTGAGCGGTTCTCCATGTGGACTCAACAATAGTTCTCCATGTGGACTCAACAATAGTTCTCCATGTGGACTCAACAATAGTTCTCCATGTGGACTCAACAATAGTTCTCCATGTGGACTCAACAATAGTTCTCCATGTGGACTCAACAATAGTTCTCCATGTGGACTCAACAATAGTTCTCCATGTGGACTCAACAATAGTTCTCCGACTGGGTTCAAGAAGAGGGAGGTCACGCCCGCAGTCAACTCCAGCCCGTCACCCACTTGTATAGTGAACGGCTGAACCCCCCTCCAGCACTGCGCAACCCCCCCCACCCTTTCTCCTGATTCCCTTCACACCCACCACCTGGTGCGGCTGCTGCAGCCTCCCTGCTCACTGTGCACTGTACCCGTTCCAACCCCGCTCCTCTCCACCCCACTCAACCGTTCCTTAGCATTCTACACCCCAAGCTTCAAAGTGTGCACCTGCACGCGTGCCACTGTCCCCGTCTGTCCACTAACTATTGCTTGCCAGGCAGGCAGACGGAACGATGGCTCCAGGCCTGTCATGCATGCTGCCCCCTCACTGCCTTCAATCAGCCTCGACCCGTAAATGCCTATATCTGTTGCTGCCACCCGCCATCCCGCCCCCATCACACCGCCCCCATCACACCGCCCCAATCACACTGCCCCCATCACACTGCCCCCATCACACTGCCCCCCATCACACTGCCCCCATCACACTGCCCCCATCACACTGCCCCCATCACACTGCCCCCATCACACTGCCCCCATCACACTGCCCCCATCACACTGCCCCCATCACACTGCCCCCATCACACTGCCCCTATCACACTGCCCCCATCACACTGCCCCCATCCCACTGCCCCCATCACACTGCCCCCATCGCACTGCCCCCCCCTTTGCACTCACCAGCGCGAGGCGGAAGGAAGCATCGAGGCTCTTCATGCCGGCTGCCAGCTCCTGCACCATGTCTCCCACTCCCCCCTCGCCGCCCTCGCCTCCCTCCCCACCTCCCCCGGCCAGTTTCATCAGCTCCTGCTGCTGCTGGCACGCCATCAGCGCACTCTCGCACTCACCCTCTGCACCTGCAACCGAGCCTGAACTCGCAGCTTCGGAATCGTCAGATTTTGGTTCGGCAGGCAACTCTGGCGCCCCTGAGACTGCGCTGCTTGCATCTGTGCTGGAAACTCCCCTGGCAGCTTCAGGGCCTTCGGCAGACCCGTTAGTAGAACGTTCGTTATAAGAGTGTGCCTCAGAAGCACTCGCACGGCTCGGCGTTGCTTCATGCATATCATGTGCTCTTTGAGGTGATCCGGTGGACATCACAGGGTTGATCGCCAAGCTGGCATTTTCTGATTGGGTTTGCAGTGAACCAATGGTGCGTTGCTGCTGCTCGGCTTGGAACAGGAGGGCTGAATGGGCCAACGTGAGGGCTGTATGCTGCCGAACCAGCTGCGAATATTTCGCCTGACTTGTGAAGAGGGAACATGCGGAAAAAGAAAGGAAAGCATGGAATGGAATGGAACGCGTGAGACGGGATAGAGCAGCAAACTCGTGAGACGTGCAACCTCTTGACTGGGTGTATAACGGCTACGCGTGTTGGTGTGGAATAGCAGCATGAACGGAAAGGGACGAGCGAACGCTCCATGCTCTGTTGACCGACGACACGACACGAGACGAGCAATGCTACGAGCCGCGGAAAACGGAAAAGTTTTCATGCACGGAATGTTGCTAAGAGACCAAGCCCTTTGGCAGTAACGCTCGGACCTGAAGGTTGCTCATCGCGTGTTGCAATTCCTGGAACCTTCTCCGAAGCTTCGCACATCCCGGCTCTCCCAGCAGTTGCGCGTTCCCGTAAAGATCGCCGCGATCCCCGCCAGGGTCGGAGCTAACCGTGAGCCGGCCGTTTCCTGGTCCGGAATCGCTCACCAGATCGACGGCTTTGTGCAAAGGCGGCTCGGTTCTAACAGGCTCGGTTTGCCGAGCCTCAAACGGCTTCTCAAGTTCGACACGCTCAGGTGAACGAGAATCGAAAGGCTGCTGCTGCTGCTGCTGCTGGTGGGAAATAAAAGGCGAGCGGAAGAAGCGGCGAAGGTCGCGGCGAGCGAGGGCGGGGAGATGGAGAGGCGGCAGGCGGAAGGTGAGGAAGGGGAGGGTGACAGAGACGGAGATGAGCAGCAGTGCGAGGGAGAAGAGGACGGGACGATATCGAGGCATGATGGGGATGAGGGAAGTAAAAGCGATACGCGACCCGCTGTGCGTACCTTCTACTACCAGGATTCCATCCCGAGCCAGGTCACTAAGGAAAACTGGTTGGTCTAAGTTGGTTCATCCTAAATAGACTTGCTTCATAGCCTCTGGTGTCGTTCGTGCCATTCGGCCCCCAGACACATCTTCCATGGCCGAAACTGGCGAATGCGGTGAACATTAGGTCGCGACTCGTAGCGGACATGTGGCAAAATTGGAAGATCCAGCAATTTTCCGCACCCTTGGAGTGTGCGTCCTTTGGTGAAAATAGTTTTTCAACCGCTTTGCACCGGGGCGACACGTCTCTCAACTGCATTTTACCGTGTACAACCTCTCAAAGGTCGAACTTTGTAGTCGACCCCGCAACTCCCATCTAGTCCAACTTATCAGCTACCTCTGAACAATGAAGAGCCGCGCTAAAAGGATCGAGCCCTCGGAGTGACCGTGGAGGTGAGGGGTATCGATCCCCTTACCTATCGCATGCGAAGCGATCGCTCTACCATGTGAGCTACACCCCCGTTGAATGGTAGAGTAATAAATTGTATTGATACCTTTAACATAATCTGCCCAAGCCATCTTCGTCACAGTTTTGCACATTTGCATGATGGCGAGTCGACCGGAACAGCTAGCTCCCCCCGAGGTGTTCTACAATGACGCCGAGGCGCGCAAGTACACCACGTCGTCGCGCATGATCGAGATTCAGGCATGTGCGGTCCCTATCTAGCGTCTTTTGCATCGGCGGGAATCCACGTCATGACTCGTTGGGGTCCGAGTTACGGCATGGGACAGGGCAGGCGAATAACGTTTAGCCACGTAGACAGACAGCCTGTCGCGTTTTTTGTTGCATAGATCTCTCGATTGGCCTGCTCCGTCGAAGTCGCGTCGTATACGCGTTATAACGTTAGTTTTTGGGAAGAGTCAGCAGCCGCCTTTGCTGCGCTTTAGATCGCATCATTTTCGTTACACTCACAACTTACACCCCTCACATAAAGCCTCGCGCTAGTCACGGACAGTCCCATGACGATGGTAGCAAAACCCTCTCCAAAGCCCGTAACCCCCATTCACCCCATGCACCCTGTTTCGCCGTTCCCCACGAATTCCGCGCGCGAATGTGACAGGCGAAACTCACGGAGCGAGCAGTCGAGCTACTCGCGCTTCCAGATGACGGCACTCCGCGGCTCCTGCTGGACATTGGTGCGCCGAAGAGGGGGGAAGGGGGTGGGGGGAAGAAGGGGGGAGGGGGGTGGGGGGGTTGGAGAGGGTGGGGAAAGCGTTTGAACGTTGGGGTTTTCCACCACTCCGCCGCTCCTGGTGGACAATTGGTGCGTCGAAAAGGGGGAGGGAAGGGGGAAGCGGGGAGGAGGAAGAGGAGGGCAGCGGGGGACAAGGGGGAAGAGGGGAAGGAGGGAAAAGGGAAAAGGGGCGTGGGAGGAGGAAGAAAAGGGGGAGAAGTGCCAGCGTGGGATTTGGGGGGGATAGGAAAGGGCAGGGTTTCGAGGGGCGGGTGGCGAGGGGTTTTGACAGTGGTTAGGCAGGGGAACGAAACGATAATTGGCAAGGGTATTTTGTCGCCATCGCGAGTCGCGGTTGGTTCCACTCGCTCTGTGGTCCCCTTGCTGTCCCAATTAATCTCCCCCGTCCTCCGCTCGCGTTTCCCCATACCTCCACTCCACCCACCAATCCCCAATCCCCCCATACTTTCTTCCCGTATCCCTCCCCCCCTCTAGGTTGTGGCTCGCGGGTGAGTGGGGAGGCGTTATCTGAGGAAGGGAACAACTGGGTGGGGCTTATTCCCCCATTCCCCATCCCCTGCTCACTTTCCCCCATCCCCTGCTCGCTTTCCCCCCATCCCCTGCTCGCTTTCCCCCATCCCCTGCTCGCTTTCCCCCATCCCCTGCTCGCTTCCCCCCATCCCCTGCTCGCTTTCTCCCCATCCCCTGCTCGCTTTCCCCCATCCCCTGCTCGCTTTCCCTCATCCCCTGCTCGCTTTCCCCCATCCCCTGCTCGCTTTCCCCCATCCCCTGCTCGCTTTCCCCCATCCCCTGCTCGCTTTCCCCCATCCCCTGCTCACTTTCCCCCATCCCCTGCTCGCTTCCCCGCCCCCCCAGGTTGCGGCTCGGGGCTGAGCGGGGAGGCGTTATCTGAGGCAGGGCACCACTGGGTGGGGCTGGACATCTCGCCCGCCATGCTGGGTGCGCGGGGGGATGAGGGAGATGGGGAGGGGGGAGGGGGGAGTGGGGGAGAGGGTTTATGAGGGGTGGGTCGCTAAGCCCTAAAGCTGGGTGTGAGCATATGCATATCGCCCTCCATGCTGGGAACTCGGGGGGGGTGGGGGGATGGGGGAAGGAATCGGGTTGAAGGAGAAGGGGGGGGGAGGAAAAAGGGGGGATAAAACCCTAAAGCTGGGTGTGGGCATATTGTCCTCCATGCTGGTTGCGCGGGGGAAAGGGGGGGAAGGGGAGGAAGGAGGGGAGGCGCGGGGAGGTGTGGTGGGGGCCAAAACCCTAAAGCTGGGTGTGGACATCTGGCCCTCCATGCTGGATACACGGTGAGGGGGGAAAGGGCGGGGGAAGGGGTGGAGTGGGGGGGGGGGGAGGAGGAGGGGAGGAAACGTTGAAGCTGCTAGGGGCTGGCCATCTCGCCCTCCATGCTGGGTGCGCGGGGGGCATGGGGGCTTGGCGGGAGGGGAGAAGGGGGAGATTAGGCAGGAGGAGGTGGAGTGAGGATGGGCGGATAGACTGGCAGGAGATGGGAAAAACTGGGTGTTATCATTGAGGGAGACCGTTGCTGCTGGGTTGGGTTGGGCTCAACTGGGCGTCCATTAACCCATGTTCCTAAACCCGTGCATCGAAACTTATGTCCCTAACTTAGTCCATGCATTCAAACTTATGTCCCTATATGCATTTATATGTATGTCCCTGAACTTATGCATCCATCACCCCTGCCCCAAAACCCATGCGTCCATGGCCAATGCGCGTGCAGACGTGGCAGCAGAGCGGGCAGTGGATGGTGATCTCATGCTCTCTGACATGGGGCAGGTGAGATGTGGGGCAGGTGCGATGTGGGGCAGGTGCGATGTGGGGCAGGTGAGATGTGGGGCAGGTAAGATATGGGGCAGGTGAGATGTCGGGCAGGTGAGATGTGGGGCAGGTGAGATGTGGGGAAGGTGAGATGTGGGGAAGGTGTTATTTGGGGCAGGCGGAGTGTGGGGCATGTGGGGCACGGGGCAGGAATGAGTGGGGATCATCGTGCTAGCATCCCCACCAACACATGAGTGGGGATCATCGTGCTAGCATGCCCACCAACACATGAGTGGGGATCATCGTGCTAGCATGCCCACCAACACATGACTGTCTCTCCTCCCCACCCTTCTCCCTCTTCCCCTTTCCCTTGTCCCTACCCTTCCCCTCTGAAACGATAATATGGACTCCCCTCTGTCTCTCCTCCCTACTGCTCTCTCCCTTACCCCTTCCCCATCTCCCTCTTTCCCCTTCCCCATCTCCCCCCTTCCCCTTCCCCATCTCCCCTTTTTCCCCTTCCCCATCGCCCCCCCTGCAGGGCCTTCCGTTGCGCAACGCTGTTTTTGACGGGGCCATCAGCATTTCAGCAGTGCAGGTATGACGTCATCAGCATCTCAGCAGTGCAGGTGTGACGTCATCAGCATCTCAGCAGTGCAAGTATGACGTCATCAGCATCTCAGCAAAGCATGTATGACGTCATTAGCATGTCAGCAGTGCAGGTATCACGTCATAGGCATGTCAAGAGTGCAGGTATGACGATCATCATCACGTCAGCAATGCTGGTATCACATCATCAGCATTTCAGCTCTGCACGGATGTCAGCAGCAGCTCTCCCCTCTCCCCACCTCCCACCTCTCTCCCTGCGCCCCTGTGCCCCAGTGGCTGTGCAATGCCGACAAGTCCTCCCACAATCCGCGCCTGCGCCTCAAGTGAGTGCCCCTGCTCACTGCTCACTGCTCACTGCTCCCTGACTGTTCACCAACCTCACCTCCCTTGTTTCACTCACCGCCGTCCTTTCCCCCTACTCCCTCCCCCATTACCCTCACTCTACCTTTGCTTGCCCAAGGAGGAGGGCAGCGCAGACCTACCCAATTCCTCACTAGCCTCACCTCCTTTGAAAACTGCCCCTTTTTCCTCCCCCCCACCACTCCTCCCCTCCTTCCCCCCTCTCCCAGGGACTTCTTCCAGTCTTTGTACCGCTCGCTGGCTAGGGGAGGGATGGCAGCGCTGCAAATCTACCCCAATGCCCACCACCCTAACTAACCCACCGATCCTCCCTCTCAATCCCCTCCTCCCCACCTCTTTTCCTCTCCCAAGCCCTTCTTCCAGTCGTTGTACCGCTCGCTGGCTAGGAGAGGGAGGGCGGCACTGCAGATGTACTTTCTCCTCCCCACTACTCCCCTACCCTACCCCCAACTCCACCACCACCCCTGCCCGCCTTCTTGCCCAGGGCCTTCTTCCAATCGCTGTACCGTTCACTGGCTAGGGGGGGCAGGGCCGCGCTGCTCCCAAGGTAGTGCCGCAGCTGGAGATGATCTTTATAGCCTCCATGCAGGCTGGATTCTAACACCCACCTCCCTTGAAATCACCTCACACAAGGTTCAACCGCTACGCACCAACCTCTCACTTGTTTCCTCTCACTTGTTTCCTCTCACTTGTTTCCCCCTTCCTCTCCCCCCCACTACTCCCTCCCTTCTCTCCCCCCATTCTCCCCACTCTCCTTCCTCCCCAGGGCGTTCTTCCAGTCGCTGTACCGCTCACTGGCTAGGGGCGGCAGGGCGGCGCTGCAGATCTATCCCAACGGGGCGCCGCAGCTGGAGATGATTTCCAAAGCCGCCATGCAGGCCGGCTTCTCAGGGGGGCTCGTGGTGGACTACCCACACAGGTGATTTCAACAGAGCCAGGTGTTTTCAACAGAGTCAGGTGGTTTCAACAGAGCCAGGTGATTTCAACAGAGCCAGGTGATTTCAACAGAGCCACGTGATTTCAACAAGGTCATGAGGCTTCTGATGGTGGGCTGCCACCCCCACAGGTAGGTCCAAACAGGAAGAAAGACTGAGTGATGACTAACAGGTGGTTACTTACGGCAGAGCGAGAGACTGAGTGACTACCCCTAAGGTGGCTTTAACAGGCGAGCTTGTGGTGGGGTACCCATACAGTTGACTGTAACAGGGCGTAAGACTATTTGGTTGAGAGATGCTGATTTTTCAACTTGTTTTCGGCCTTGTAGCACCATATTGGATTCTTGTATTGTTTTGTCGTTCTATTTCTGCATCCCCCCAACACCCCCCTCCCCTCTCGCCTCCCCCTCCCCTCCCTCTCCTCGTGCCCACCCCTCCTGCTGCTTTTTCCAAAACCTCAAACTTACCCCTCTGCCCTCCTCGGTTCTCCCATCCCCCTCTCGTCCCTCCCTCACCTGTGGTGTTCTCTTGCTGGGGATGACTGTGGGCAGCACCCGAGCCAAGAAATACTTTCTATGTCTCGTAGCTGGCCCTGCAGGTAGCCGCCCAATGCCCAAGGGTAAAGGGGGCGATGGGGAGAGTGAGGAGAGCGAGGATGAGGACGGTAGCGACGAGAGTGATGGGGAAGGGAGGACTGTGGGTTATGAGCAGCGGCAGAGGCAACGGCCTGGGAAGAAGCAGAAGCTGAATGGGAAAGGGGCTAAGGGAAGGAATTGGGTGCTGAAGAAAAAGGAGCACCGGCGGCAGCGAGGAGACATGGATGTTCCCAGAGACACAAAGTATACTGCACGGAAAAGAAAGTCACGGTTCTGATTAGTTTGTTTAGAATTATGGAGGTTAATTGAAGAAACGTACCGGTATGGCAGGTTTTGTTGTGATTCTTCATCGTCAACCATGGCTGTAACAAATTGCATTGGTAAAAACGAGTTTCAACAAATATCTTATGGGCGAATGTTGTAACACATTGTGTCAAAACATCATATTGTGTAGGCTGTTGTGGGGTAGCTTATAAGGGGTACAACCCAGTTAGGGTTATTACTTGTACTCAGTTTATTCTCAATGCAATCATTCTCGTTCAGTATTCTGACATGGTTTCAGAGCAGGTTCTGTTCCAGGACCGTTTTTTTTAGGGCCCACTAAATAGTTCCCTGCCGTAGCGCGTTACCCTGCTCGTAGCGCCCTACCCTGCCCGTCGCGCTACCCCACCAGTCGCGCTGCTCTGCCCCTGCCCACGCGCCACCCCGCACTGCCCGCTATGGCTTCTCTTAGTGTTCTCACCTTCGAGTCTGAGGGTCATCCGATCCAGTTTGAGACCTGGCTATACGACTTATAGCTGTACCTACAGAGCGAGTCTAGGGACAACGTCTCCTTGTTTGACCATACGTCTTGGACCTCTCTCGCTCCTCCCAAAACAGAGGACAGTGCGACTCGCTCACAGTGGCTTACCCGTGACGCTACTGCTCGCCTCGCCGTTCGCAACCACGTGCCGTTAGCCGAACGCGCGCACTTTGGCCGACACAAGACTCCTAAAGCACTGTTCGCCGTTGTAGTTACTCGTTATGTGAGAGTACGACGGCTTATGTTGGCTTTGCTAGCTTGCCTAGACTTTATTATGCTATATCTAGCTTGGGTTTTATTGATCATGCATAGATATGCTTGATTTCCTAGGTTAGGCGCATTCCTATATTTTATTATAGTTATAGCACCGAACCAGGTTACGTGTACCGAACTCAAGCCTATTCTGTTTCCACCAAATTGCTTTCTACTGAGTTCGGGAAGGTTCTGTTCGGGACGCTTCGCGACCCTCAGAACATTCGCGTAACACCTGGGTTACATGCCTTGTGTCGAGCCTATATATAGCCTCGTGTTGTACCCAGGTGGAGCATTCAATTACAATTATGTTTTCTGAGCTCGATCCTAGATCCTCACACTTGGTAATCAGAGCATGTTTACACGCCATAGTATTTCGACCGCTAAAACCGAGTCTTAAAAAACCGCGGGGGCGACGCTGATAAACACTGATTTCGGGTATGTAAAAACGGTTCCATATTTTTCGATCCTCCTCGTTCCGGTTTTTTTCGAACGCATAATGAAAGGCATGGAGGGTCAAGGCGACAACTACGCGACAATGAGCGACATCGCCAGCCTTCGCACCGACATGGAACAGACGCAGGCGGCGATTCGGCGACTCGAGGCCCTTCTGACAAACCAATCCGCAGCCGCCATCGCAGCAGTCAATGCAGCGGCGAACGTAGCAGCGACACAGCAGCAACGACAGCGACACCGACTTTTCACGGGCTGATGGCACTACCGACGCCGAACGTCAAAGTAGCTCGCCCGAGGCTCCCTGAAGCGTTCGATCGAAGCACGAAAGGATCTGACGTTCGACGTTTTGTGGCGACCCTCGAAATTTATTTCGAGGCCATTGGCTGTTCGACCCCGACACACGACGCAGCACAAATTCGGCTCGCAGCGACACTGTTGCAGGGACCACCACTCGAGTGGATATATTACACTGACGTGGCCTACAGGGAGAAAACGTGGCAGCAATTTCGGGAGGATCTAATCGAGCCTTTCGAACCAATCAATTTGGTCTACATGGCGCGGCAGCAGATTCACCGACACAAACAGTACGGCAGCGTAGCACAGTACACGCAGTGGATGGAATTTCTGTTCAACCAAATCACTGACCTGACGGACGGCGAAAAAATCCAAGCGTACACCAAAGGATTAAAAATGGAGATTCGACGGCAGGTGATTTAGGCGAACTACAATAGCTACCGCGACATCGTACGGGCAACAGAAAGGTACAACGCGTTGACAAGAGGTCAGCCCGACACACGACGCTACGGGCCAAACTGTACATTTGGCCTGGAGCGATTGGTGTGAAAGAACGAGGAATGGATGCACTAGGAAACAAGTGGGTACAAGTAGGAAAACCTTAAAGTGTTGTACCCCATATTGTCTACCCCACTACAGCCTACACAGACTATAGCATATAAGTTTGACAAAACCCCATAGGCAAAGTGGGGGAGAAAAAGAGGTCACAAGACCAGTCAAGCAAAGCACAGTAAGCTCAGGGTGAATAACAACGTCACCACACATTCCGAGCACAAGTTCAAGGCCACAAGGGCAGTTCGCATGCAAGATCATATACAAAGGCAAACAAGCACGTGCAGGTATAGATAGATCACAGTACAAGAAAGGTTAAGAAGTGAGCAAGTGAGGCCAAGTAGGCACAAGACCTAGCATAGTACAGAAGCGCTGATGATCACAAGGCGGAAGTGACTTGGTAAAGATATCAGCAGTGTTGGCCTGAGAGGCCACGTAAGCGAGGCGCAGCTGACCACGCTGCTGTAGCTCACGAGCAAGGAAGTAGCGAAGAGCAATGTGCTTCGTTCTGTGCTCCAGTCTGTGCTCCCGACACAAGGCCAGCATGGCCTTGTTGTCTACGTACAGAACTGGAGGAGAACGAGGCGGCTCTCCTAGGTCAGTCAGCAGGTAGGTGAGCCAGCGTAGCTCCTGTGCAGCCATGGCCCCCGCGTAGATCTCAGCCTCACAGCTAGAGCCGAGAACAGAAGACGAGCGGGTAGACCGCCACGAAACAGAGCCGGAACCAAGGTTGAAGGTGTAACCCTGTGACGACCGCTGCATACCCTGGTCGTCAGCCCAAGAAGCGTCTTCGTGACTTGTGAGGACCACTGAACGCCGCCCTCCAAGCACTAGCCCCATGCCCGACGTACTGCACAAGTAGCGCAACACCCTCTTCGCTGCAGCCATGTGCTCTGGTCAATGTCTACTAGGAGCAACATAGCGTGCCAAGATGATAAGAGGGTATGCAAGGTCAGGTCGAGTGCAGGTCATCTGGTATATGAGGCAACTAACAAGCTCCAGGTACGGGCCACTCGGCTCTACGGACTCATCCGAAGGCAGAGCTGAGAGCGAGTGGCGAGTAGACAGAGGAGTGGCCTGAGGCGAGGAGTACGTGAAGTCGAAGCGCTGAAGGACCTGCTGCACCATGTGTGACTGAGTCAGGGTAATGGTGCGCTGTGCTCTGTCCCGGGTGATCTGCAAGCCAAGGTAGCTGCGCAGTTCACCCAGGTCTGAGCACGTGTGTCTCTTCTGCAGCTCGGACTTCACGTGGGCGAGTCCAGCAGTGTCAGCAGTGGCAAAGACCAAGTCGTCAATGTACACGAGGATGTAGAACGGCAGCAAAGAGGTGTCAGTGCGTAGAAACAATGACGGGTTTGGCTGTAGAAGGAGCAAACCCAAGAGCCGCAAGTGTAGTCCTCAGTGTGTCGTGCCACTCACGGGGCGCCTGGCGGAGACCGTAGACTGGCCGCCGGAGGCTCCACTGGTTACCAGGAGGAAACGACCCAGTGAAGCCAGGTGGGCGGCGGAGCTAGATCTCCTCGTGCAGGCTGCCCTGCAAGAAAGCTGTGCTGAAGTCAAGAGAGTGAAGCTCGTAGTCGCGCTGAGCGGCTATGTGCAGCAGCACCCGAAGAGTGGTCATCTTCGGGGTGGGAGAGAAGGTTTGAAAGTAGTCAACTCCCTGCCGTTGACTGAAGCCTCGAGCCACGTAACGCGCCTTGAAGACAGGCGGAGAACGCGGCGGCCGCTTCACCCTGAATATCCACATGCCACTGACGATGTTCGCCCCAGATGGGGGAACCTCGTCGACGTAGGTGCCTGTGGACTTCCAGGAAGCCATCTCTGTGTCCATGGCTGACTGCCACCGTGAGGAGTAGGGACCCTCGATCGCCCCAGCGTACGATCGAGGAGTCGGGATGTCAAGTGCATCCGGGTCTCCCTCAGGGGCAATCAGCGTGGACACGAGATGGGGCAAAGCAGCAGCAAAGTACTGGAACTCCTCCTGCCTGTCCTCAAGGACGTCCGTGCTAAGAGCACACTCACCCCCGACGGACAGAGGACAGACAGACGCAGACTCAGCAACAAGACTAGCGGCGTAGTTTAGACGACAACGAGCAGCAAAGTCGACAAGCTCAGCAACCAAGGCAAACGCAGCTGTGGACTCAAAGGAAGGGTCAATGACAACAGTAGCCAAGAGATGCATGACAGAAGGACTGGCAGCACGAAGAGAGTCAGACTCCGGGTCAGCAAGAGTAGGAAGAGAGGACTCAGGAGCAGACGGCAACGGGACACGCAGAGGAGCAATGGAAGGACGCAGTGCCATCTGGTGTGTGCCGGGGACCGTAGGAGGACGCGAACGCGGAACACGACTACTAGTGCGAGCAGCACGAACAGGCAACACAGGACGACACGCAGGCTCACGACGCTCAGCAAGACCTCCGGTAGGACCAGTTTCGGGAGAAGGGGCAGGGAGGGGGGAGGCGGGCTGTAACTATGACTACGACTGGACAGGCGGTGGACACTCTGAGGGAGGAGCAGGACCAGTAGAAGGCGGAAGACCAAGAACCTGCTCAAGGAGTGGAACGAAGTATAGCCGCGGCCGCGCAGCGCCTCCTCAAACAGCAGGGACAGCACCAGTACCCCCAGCGGCAGCACCAGCGCCAGCAGCACCTCCAGCTCCAGCAGCGCTAACTCCAGCACCCTCAGAAGCACCACCGCCAACACCCCCCAGTAGCTCCAGCTCCAGCAGCACTTACTTCAGCAGGACCGCCTGCTCCGGCACCGCCAGTAGCTCCACCACTAGGAGCACCTCCAGGCCCAGCAGCTCTAGTCCCCCTAGTAGTACCAGCAGCTCTAGTACCTCCAGCAGCACCAACTTCAGCGGCCCCAGCAGCACCTCCTGTCCCAGCAGCTCCAGTACCGCCAGTATGAGCACCTCCAGG